TTAGACTTTAGCTAGTTGAAAAATGATGACTTCAGTTAGTAATAAAGTATATTTATTATTTCTCCTTACAGTCATAAAAAATAAGAATAATAAATATTTACCAGTCACTTAGAAAATGTTCTCTGTAAACCTGTTATAGGATGAAACTAGCAGGTTCCTCTAACAAGAACCTAAAAATACTATAATATTATTTTACACTCTGTGGGTCTAAATATTAATCAGAGGACAAAGTAATATTTAATAGTTTAATTGTAGCACGATTCAACAGTGCTAAACTCTGTATATATGCTCCACAAGCTAATATCTGCTAACCAGTTCAATTAATAACAGTGATAACATGGACTTTATAAGATTGTTTTAATTTTAAACTGTTACATTATGTTCTGCTCAGATCACATTGAGCTAAATAAGATCAAATCTGCTGACTTGTGATGTAAAATGAGACGTTTCCCGTTTATCTACTGTTAATAAATCCATAACACAAACAGCTTTTCTGACATTATTTAAAACATTAAATAGATTGTAGGAAAAATGTGAGTTGTTCAAAATGTCCGAATCCAACAATTTCTTCTTAAAACTTTATTTTCAATCTTCTGACTCCAATCAAGTTCACAGCACTCAGTACACAGGCCTCAGTAAGACCTTGAGCTAAATTAAAACAAAACACAGCTGCTCTGCTCTGAAGAGACTCTCCAAACACTGAGAATTTCTACTACTATCATGATGAATTGATCTTATAATGTACATCTCTTGGAGGTGTTACGTTTTACATCAGACGTCAGAACGTAACTCATTTTGTTTAGACTAAAGAAAGAACACATGATAAGACACACTAACTCTACCTTACAGGCTGAAATGATCAGAAAGTATAAAATACAATCCTGCACCTAGCATTCAATTAATCAGTTACAAAATTTCCTTCAAGATTATATAAACTGTAAAATAATAATAGTTTTTATGATTTCTACATCAGTCCGTTTTTTTCTGCTCTGATGTCAACATGTACAGTAATGGTAAATCCAGACTGTTCTGCGTTAGCTGTTAGCTTCACCAGCCGATCACACGGTCACCTGGTTTCTGAGCACTCCAGCTGTTCTATATAAACTCCTTGGTTCAAACTTATATCCAAGATTTTGTGTTTATTTCACTCCAGAAGAGGACCTTCTCCAGAGGTCAGCTTCCCTGGACTCTGAGGGATCTGGGACAAATTAATCCCAAATTAAGCTAATGCCAATGGTAATTTTACAAAGGGCTCTAATCCAGCCAAGTTCAAACATATAGAGTTGAAAATGTACAGTAGTATCAAAGAACAATAACTCCTAATTCTGTCATGAATCATCTTTTTACTTGAAGAAGGCAGCTCGGGACATTCTCTGTTAGAACTCAGCTTTATTCAACACACGTGCCTGGACGTACAGCGCATGCTCATGAATACAGTGCACTACGGAAGCCTATTTATCACCACATCTCCCCCCTCTAGCAGAGAAACACACATGCTTAAAATAAAATGATGGCTTTACACAAATGCTTAACCTGTGAGAAAACAGGTAATAATAATCTTGCATAATCCCCCCACCCCAATTAAGCAATAGTACAACTGACACAGAACAAATATCAAACGCAGGAGTTAGAAGAGGGTCTTTTTCTGCTCTACTTCAGCTCTCCGCAGTCTTCAATGACCACCTTGGCTTTAGGAGAGCCGCTCTTTGTGCCGTGTTTCTCCATCGCTTTGACCACGTCTATTCCCTCCACGACGCTGCCGAACACCACGTGCTTCCCGTTCAGCCTGCCGAGCAGAGCGGCCCGTCAGTGTGTGCAGCAGCACCTGTGTGAAGCTGAGCGACAGGTGACTCACCAGTCAGTGGAGGCCGTGCAGATGAAGAACTGGGACCCATTGGTGTTGCGTCCGGCGTTGGCCATGGACAGAGTTCCCATTCCTTTGTGCTTCAACTGGAAGTTCTCATCAGGGAACGTCTCTCCGTAGATGGATCGACCCCCGGTTCCATCGTGGTTGGTAAAGTCTCCACCCTGAGCAAAGGTAATAAATACAAATAAAAACAGACCAGTTGATCTTGATGTCTACAGAACCTGTCCAGTGCCATTGGATAAAAAAAATAAATAATGCATGGACAGACATTACCATCTCATGGTCACGAGACAAATGATGCATGGCCATGGGCAGCCGTGTCTCTTTGTCAGAGATACAGACAGATTATATATGAATACACTGTTTTTGTGTTTAACTGTTCAAAGGCACACTACCACTACCATCACTACTGTGTATGTTTACTTTAAAAAGTTCATCTTTCATAGTACTTGTATTTATGAGAGGACATTAAACGTTGTAGGCGTGTGTCAGGAAATGTTTTTTTAAACTGTGTTCCTGAACGCAACATAACTTTGACTCCTTCCACAACAAAGGCATAGGGTAAGAGAAGAGTCTTTTATGAAATTCAAAAAATAAATAAAATAAACTAATCAAAAAATATAAGTAGGTCCTCTGGATGGGTTCTTCTTTAGTGAAACGTTTCGTCTCTCCTCCAAGAGACTTCTTCAGTCTGATGAGTTTCAGATGAAACTCAGTCTTCTAAACACCGCGTCCACCTGGACAAACAGGTTAGTCACATGCAAAAGAGGACCATCGACTAACAATAGGCTTGATTGGCTCTAGGGTCACGTGCCCCATCACATGAACCGTGTCATGTTATGGGAATGTAGTGAATGCAAGCGGGGGTTCAACATCCCCTTGTTTTTGCCTTTTTTTCCCTCTTTGTGTTGGTATCATTGGGGCCCTGATTCACACCTTTTGCTCACAGGGGGCGGAGTCATACTTGCAATAACAGCGTTGTAGGAGGAAGACAACTGGACACGAAGGCCTCCACCTCTGTTTAATGGTGGATGGATTTTTTTCATAATGATGGCTTCTTTTACTCCTCTCTCAAACTAACGTTCCTCTCTATGAAGGATGAAAACATCTTCAACCCTGAAGGAGTGACCGGTGGCCTGTAGATGAGTGTAAACTGCAGAGTCCAGGGGTCGGATTTATAAAACTGGCGTACGCACAATTTGAGCCCAGAAACTTGCATACGCCACTTTTTACGCCAAGGTTGTGGTTTATAAAATCCAAACTTGACGTGAAAATGTGCGGTGCCTCACGCCAGCTC